CTGCCCCCCCCCCCATAGGGACCACTGGGATCCCCCAAACACAGAGCTCCCCCCAAACTGGGTTGCTTAAACTGGGAGCACTGGGATCCTCACAGACCTGGACTCTCCCTTAGTAGGACCACTGGGATCCCCGTGTTCCCAGCACAGCAGTCCCCAACAGCACCTCTTGACACAGACCCACAAGGCACCCTAAGGTGGGAGGCACCACCCCTCCCATGCCTGAGGGGGGGGTGGGGGCATTACAGCCCTACAGCTACAGGGGGGCCCATGGCAGCATGTGGAAAAAGGGGGTCCCTTCCCCATTTGCAGCATTGAGGCCCCCAGGGATAGTTCTGTGCCAGGACCAGCTGCCTGTACCTGTTCACTCTGGACCCTACTGAAGACCTGGTGTGGCAACACTGCAGGGGTCCTCACACCCTCCCACACACACACACTGCCCACCCCAGTAAGGGGGAGAGAAGGGGGCCACTGTGGTTTAACTCGTTTTATTTAGACTCATAAAGGTAACTGCGGCCCGGCTGGACCGTGCTTGTGGGGCTGAGACCCGATAGAAACGCAGCAGTAAGTCAGGAGCGGGGTGGGATGGGGCGAGCTGCAGCAGGGCGCGGCACCCGGGCTGCCGAAGGAATGGTCAGTTGTTAAGAGGAGGTTTTACGAGAGCTGCCCGCAGTCGGTAATGGTGATCTTCTTGCTCGTTTTGCCATCTTTGGAGCCACAGCGCTCCATGGCCTCCACCACGTTCATCCCTTCCTTGACACGGCCAAAGACGACATGCTTGCCATCCAACCTGCAGAAGCACCGGTCACAGCTGGCGCCTGCCATCCCCACACGGGGACCTCAGCACCAGGCCTGGCATGTCACCTCCCCGCCGGGGTGGGTGCTGGGGACCCCCGAGCTCACCCTCCCACAGCCTCCGACTCACCATTCGGTCTTGGCAGTGCAGATGAAGAACTGGGAGCCGTTCGTGTTGGGGCCGGCATTGGCCATGGACAGGATGCCAGGGCCCGTGTGCTTCAGGATGAAGTTCTCATCGGGGAACTTCTCCCCATAGATGGATTTGCCGCCAGTGCCGTTGTGGCGCGTGAAGTCGCCACCCTGCGAAGAAGCGGCATTTCAGGTCACAAGCGCAGAAGACTCTTGAACCAGGTGCAGCAGCCCTGCAGAGGCTGCAGGCAGGAGGCAGAGCCGCCTTCCCACCCCAAACTTGCCAGC